GGGGGTTCAGGTAGGGTTTAAGAAGTCACTCTGTCTAGGGTTTTATTTAAGCGTTATATATTCTCAGGTAGCATAAGTTGCTTTTGTACCCCAAGAAAATAAGTTGCTTATGCAAAACTAGATTTCTATTTTCTATGGAAGTGTTATATGAAGTCTCATCAAGTCTATAGCTTATATATTTCCTATTTGCATTAACATAAGTAGAACTAGAATTCTATTCACGCGAAATACATAGTTTACTCATTCACCTTGCACCCAAATCTGTGTTATACACGTGTTGACCACGGGTATAACTAACACCAAACCTTTCAAATGTGTATCAATTACACACTACTTTTGACCAGCCTAGTTAATATTCAATGCGGTGTATACACGCGCTTATTTAAATTAAAAAACAAACGATTCTTTAATTAAAATGGATAATCCGACCCTTTTTTAATCCCGATCCAAAAAAGATCCGACCCGATCGATTAAAAACAACTCCTCGACCAGATTAACAAACATAATTCTATTTTCACCAAAATGTTCTTGAGCCCTAACCTTTGAAGGCGACTTCGACGAGAACACATTCAGCGTTTGTTGCTGTTACTTTCGTCATTTTCAGGTTAGTATTCTCATTTTAGGTTGTTCAATCGTTTTGATTTAGATGGGTGGGTCGAAATAGTTAGGGTTTAGTTGGACCCGAATTCTCCATTCAATATGAACCCTAATACGAGAATTGACAGAAGAATAATTATGTATTGCACTTTAATTGAACAAATATAACTAGCTTGAAAATATTAGATGTGGAAGGTGAAGATGGGGGTTGGTTTTTTCTGAAATTGGTTCTTTTTAATATGAAGAAGATGAAAATGGTTGCTTTTAATAAGAAGAAGATGAAGAAGTCGGCGTTAGGGTTAGGAAAATGGACCTAATTCCAGTAATTAGCCGTTGTAATTTGTCAGGAGAGGCAGAAAATAACTTTTCACGCGCCGCATTGGTCGTGTTTCACACGTCCCAGAGGCTGGTCAAAAGTAGTGTGTAATTGACACACATTTGAAAGGTTTGGTGTGTAAAGTTATACCCGTGGTCAACAGGTGTGTAACAGGAATTTGAGTGCAAGGTGGATGGGTAAACTATGTATTTCGCCTTCTATTTACGACAACCTACATTTGGATTAATTTATCATCCAACAAATTGCTATAAACTAACGAGGCGGCTCAATGAATTGGGTGGCCTAAAGGCAAGCCATAATAAAAGGCCTGTCACACCTCCTTTTTCACTAGACCCCCGAAAGGGTATAATAAAGGGAGTTTTTTCAATTTAAGGACAATCAAAACGGGATTTATTATTAAAAGATTCAGAGTCGCCACTTGGGAGATTATGGTGTCCCGAGTCACCGGTTCAAATCCCGAATCGAGGAGGATTGACTCTGTTTAACAGTCTGCGAACCAGAAATCCGGGTAAGGAATTCTGTTAACCCGGGAGAAGGTGTTAGGCATTCCCGAGTTCTGTGGTTCTAGCACGGTCGCTCAACTGTTATAAATGGCTTAGTTATCTGATTTTTGAACATTTTAAACCTATGTGCAAATTTTAACTTTTAACCGTTTTTATTCATTTTAAAGAAGATTTAACGTCGTTTAAAACATGTCTTCGGATCGCGCCACATGAAATGCACTCGCAATCCTAAACACATTTTATTCAACGTTTTAAGATTTTGATTTGGGTCACATGAAATGCACACCCGAGTTTAGGAAGGTAATATTATTAAATATACGCGCCTAAAGCAACTACGCGTTTTTAACTTTGCGAGGGCCATGGAAATTTGCTAAATGGCACGCCTCGAATTCTAAGTATTTTAAAAGAAATAATTAAATGAGGGCCACGCATTTGAGGTTTTATTTGGTGCGGCGCACGTTGATTCCATTTTAAAAGGATATTCAAACTAGAATTCGGAGGGCCATAGACTATTTATTTTATCTAATATGGCTCACCTCGAGTCTAATTAATGAACTTACTTAATTAACACTAAACAAGTTAAAAGTTCTATTTAAACTAACTAAAGGTTTTCATGGAAAAGAATTAATTAATTTAAGCAGAGGGGTTTAACCCAGCACCAACGGGTCAACAGCCCAACGAGAAAGGGGCAACCCAGGTCTCATTTACACGGGACAATCTCATTTGGGCCCAAAGGTGAGCCCAAGTCGAAACAGAGCAGCCTCAAGCAAGGGGATGAGGTCCCTAGTTCGAATCTGCAGATCAGCACAGGAGGTTGACCTCTTGCATTTTATTTTTTCTTTAAAACAATCAAACGAAAGGGCAACGGTGATCATGAACATTTAAAGCACATTTTAGGCGACTGTGTACTCCACTATTTTTGACAATACAACTGTGCAAATTTGAAGCAATTTAGGCTAAGTCAGTGGACATTTGCATACAAATGCTGACTTTAATTAAATCCCATTTTCATTGCACACAATCAGCGAACACACAGACTTAATAATTTAAACATACTCTCAACTACACTATAGTAATTCCGTACACATCTTGACCCTTAAGTCATTGCCCAAACCATTTTTAAACCCAAGTACCTCGAAACTAACTAATAACCTAAAAATCATCCATGGTTTCTTACAAAGTAAGTGCTGCATAATTTCCAAATAAACAGATACAAAATCAAGATGTGCTCACAGGCAAGTGATTAAGGTCAGTGCATAGCTCAACTTCAAAATAACCTGGACCTCTTTAATACTTAATGAACCATCAGTAGCCATTTAATTGCATCAAAAAGAAAATGTTATGACAGTCCAAATCAATTACACGACTAGGAGAGGTCTAACGCAGTTAACACCATTTAACATAATAGAATGCAGGACATATCTACTGGCTCTGTTACACCAGTTATACATCAGATTTTCACAGCAATTCAAAGTCAGACTTGGTTACACAATGTATCTAACGAATCAAAACAACAAAATTCAGAAGGACAACAGAAATAAAACTATGAATTGAAAAGCTTATGTATAGGTTTCAAACTTCTATTTCCATTTCACTCTTCAAGTTTCCATTACACAATCAGCAAGGTTATAGAGTTGTGTACCTGGAAATGAGATAAAAACCAAAACCAAGCAAGATCAGAAGCTAGCAGCTAACAGCACAACAACAGGTTCGAGCAAAAATCAGCAACAACCCAACTCACAACAAGTGACACACCAGCAGGCCCAAGGACCTAATTTCGAACTAATTTCCATCCCAAATCAAGTCATACTTAACCTCAAGTGAACCAGAAATGCTTCAGAACTTTGAAAATTTCAGGAATCAAAACAAAGATCAATGGAACAGTGAACTTCAACACAACTGAACCCAAAGCTTTTCCAACACAAGCTCAAGCCATTTTTCACTCAAAAGGATTCAGAAATTATTTTGTAACCAAAGAAAAACATTAAGATTCAGGGCAGAATTCTAATGGAATAGTATTCTTCCCTCAATTTTCAGCCATTTTCTGATTTCTAGCTCTTAGGATTCTTAGGTCTGCCTTCTAAGACAAGAAAAGGGTGCCTTTATAGGCAAGCAAATAGGGCAACCTTTCAGATTTTATTTTACCCCTTAGGTCCCTGATTTTATGTCTTGTTTGCCAAGTTAAATCTGAAATTCCCTGGAAGACCCCTACTAGAAGCTTCTAAAACAGTTACCAAAGATACCCCCCTTCCCATTTCCTAAACTACTCCAAGTGCCCTGTTTTTACTTTGCCGGACCAGACTGGGTCAAATTGACCCAAGGCAATATCCAATCAGGGCCTAATGAACTGGCCATAGTCCAATGTTCAATTTGGGCTTTCTGATTTCAAAGTCAAACAAAAATTCCCCACTTGAGACAAAAACTGACTCAATTTTCTCAAAAAAAAAAGAACCAGCAATCTTTTTAAAAAAAATGAAACAGAGAAAAAAGAAAGGAACCGACTAACAAAACTAATTAGGCTAAATTCATCGTTAAGTTAGTCATGCAAAACATAATTAATGGAAGAGATTAACACATAATGAAAACACAAAGAACTGAAACAATGAAAAAGACTTAATCAAACATGTGGAGGACAAGATGCACAAAACAAACAGAAAGCAGAAAAAGGAAAGAAGAACGGAAAGATACCTAGATTAGACGGGCCAAAAACTTGAACCAAATCTGGGCGAACCTTTGATTTCTTGACCGAAGTGGACCTTAAACCTGTGTTTTCATGTGAAACTCAAAATCTCAAAAGACCCGTCGAGTTTGAGATCGTGGAATTAAGGCTTTTCTTTGATTCAAGATTCGAACCGCTGGAGTGGGATTCGAGGGAAACCAAATGGGGATTTGGGATGAGGGTGAGAAGGGGGTTCGGGGGTGTGATTTTTGGGGCGATTTGGGAAAAATTAGGTTTTTGGTCTAACTTTCAATTGAAGATTCGATGAGTTACACGGTGATTCGAGGAAAACCAACGACGGATTCGACATAAGGGGAGGAAGAGGGTGTTATGGTGTGAATCTGGTGTGGATTTGAGGTGGCACCGCCACCAATGGCTGTTGAATCCGCCTGCGGCTTCTAGGGTTTTCAGTGGTTAGAGTCTCTGAAAGAGACGATGAGAGGGGGGGGGGGGGTAAGGTCTTCTGACACTTTTATATGAAGGGACCCCAAGTTCCTGGCCGTTAGATCATGGAACCTCGACGGCTAGGATTGAGCAAGGGAAAAGGGGGTCGTTTTGTGACTGGGGGAAGGAGACGGATCGGGTTTTGGTGTGGATTTGGGCCGGTTCGGGAGATTGGACGTTTGTTTGGGCTGGGAGGTAGTGAATTGGGCATTGGGCTTGGGAGTTTTGAATTAAGATGGCCCAAAGAATTACTCCTTATTAATAAGACCAATTTCTCTTCATGTTCTTTTCTTTTTCTTTTCTTTTTGTATTTTCAGATTTTGCTAAATAAAAACAAACCTAAA